TTCCTGTCAACGGTTTTTTGCACATCTATTCAGACCACTAGCGTTTTTTTTTTTGGAATATTTGCTATTGCTGTACATGCTTAAGACACATGATTTCAATTAATGTTTTTATAAAAAAAAAAACCAAACAACAAACAGTAACACTGCAGTCAGTGATGAAGTGTTAACGCACAAACTGATTCTGTGAACGACGAATTATTTTTTATGTTATATTTACAGCTGTGAATGATATGTATCAGGAAATGAGAAAATGTATGGATGGACCGGGAATCGAACCCGGGACCCCTGCCTCACTAGTCAGGTGCTCTACCCACCGAGCTACCAAGGCCAATATCCACGGCCCAAACCATTACATTCCTCCCTCCTTAAATTCTCTTCGCCCCCGAAGACACAACCCAAGTTCTTATTGCCCCTGGAAGGACTTTCACCTGCTAGTCCAGGGGTAGTCAACGGCACCAAATTATGTAACAGAAAAGGAGAAAATGTTTGGCTGGACCGGGAATCGAACCCGGAACCCATGGATCACTAGTCAGAGTCAGTTTACTATACCGACTGAGCTACCCAGGCCGATATCCATGGTCCAAACCATTACAATATATTGGACAGAAGAAAAAAATACGGAGACATCATTTCAAAGTTATACATTGTACATACTACCACATAGGCTTTATCAATAGATCATCATATTATACATTTATTCAGTAGAATCAAATAATTTTTGTTTGTTTGTTTGTTGTTTAACGTCCCTCTCGAGAATTTTTCACTCATATGGAGACGCCACCACCTGCCGGCGGAGGGCTACAAATTTTGACCTATACTCGGCACTCAGGGCCATTGAGCAGTGAGGGATCTTTTTCGTGCCAGCATCTACTGCAACATGGGACCTCGGTTTATACGGTCTCATCCGAAGGACCGGCCTCCACGTCCCACAGTGGGATTTAAACCCGCGAAGTAAGGATCAACTCCTTACTCCGCGACTCTAGAGCAGACGCTCTAATTAACCACTGCGCCAGAATCAAATAATTAAATACAGACATTAATAAATAAATAAGGATATTCAATGTTTTGTAGTTGGATATGGAATTTATTTCAAGAGTGGAAGTGGGACAGATTTCTTTGATAATTTCCACGGATACTTGTGGACAGGACCTCCCCCCGCGGTATTTTATAATACCGCGAGTATGATTTTTTAGTAAAACGTTAATACTGAGTTATTTTTTGGATTTTTCTTATGGAATACATTGTAAATGTGTACTAGAAGAGTAATTTATGAAAAAATACATAAAAATATTTTTTGACCTGTGGGGTATATTCGGGGGCGGGGGGGGGGGGGGTCCTGTCCACAAGTACCTGTGATTTTTACTACTTTGTTAAATCAAGGTAACACAGGTAAACTCTACCTGGACCCCTTAGAGGGTCTCTTAATTGAGTGTGATAATTAAATAGTTGTTTTAGCGAGTAGACGTTCGGGGAATAAACCGTACATGTAGCTAAGCGATTGTATGGAACGCCAAATTAATAATTATATATTCAAACATTTGTACCTATTTTTTAAATATTTGTACCTGTCTTCACATCAATTTTACCTATCTCCAAATAAATTGAAAATAGGTTTAATTCAATTATATCAGAGACCTATTTACTACATAGGTCCCTGATTGTAGTTGTGGAACTTTAGCGTTATGGTTTTACATTTTAGTCTTTGGCCATATGGTCAAAGACTAATATATTTGTTTGTTTGTGTACTGTTTAACGTCCCTCTCGAGAATTTTTCACTCATATGGAGACGCCACCACTTGCCGGTGGAGAGCTGCAAGTTTTGACCTTTACTTGGCACTCAGGGCCATTGAGAAGTGAGGGCTCTTCATGCCAGCACGAATTGCGACACGGGACCTCGGTTTATACGGTCTCATCCGAAGGACCGGTCTCCACCTCCCACAGTGGGATTCGAACCCGCGACGTAAGGATCAACTCCTTACTCCTCGACTCTAGAGCGAACTCTAGCCACTGCGCCATGCGGGCGACAAACATTTAACTATAACGACTACAGTTCTACAGCTACCTCGATTGTATCTATCAACTAGAGATATGTACAATGGATTTGAAGATGGATATTGTTAAATTGAAAAAAAAGGTACAAGTACCAAGAATTAAAAATAAGTGTAATTAATTTGAAGATAAATGCAATTGAATTGAACCTAGGTATAATTGATTTGCACCTATCTTCAAATCATTTGATCATTTGTATAGGTTTTTAACTGTATCTATCTTTTAATCAAGTGTATACCTATCTTAAAATGACTTAAAGACTGGTAGAATTCAAATAAGCCTATCTGTAATTGAATCGAACCTACATGTACCTACTGTAACGTGTAAAACTACTGGGTTCTACAAGGGACAAGGGTTCTCTGTATATTTTTATGCCCCGTATCGAAGATTCGGGGGTATATAGTTTTTGCCCTGTCCGTCCGTCTGTCTGTCTGTTTGTCCGCAAAAACTTTAACATTGCCCATAACTTTTGATTGGTTGGAGCTATGGCTTTCATATTTCACATGTGTATTCCTTGTGCCAAAACCTTTCTTTGGGTACTACCATATTTGACCTTTTGACCTTGACCTTGGAGTTTGACCTAGTTTTACAAAATTTTACCCAACTTTAACCTTGGCCATTACTTGTGAACAGTTGGTGCTAGGGCTTTCATACTTCACATATGTAATCTTTGTGACATGACCTTCCTTTGGATACCAACAACTTTGACCCTTTGACCTTGACCTTGGAGTTTGACCTACTTTTGAAAAACTTTAATCTTGGCCATAACTTGTGAACCGTTGGTGCTAGGGATTTCATACTTCACATATTTAATCTCTTCCTTTGGATACCAACAACTGTAATCCATTGACCTTGACCTTGGAGTTTGACCTACTTTTGGAAAACTTAAACCTTGGTGATAACTTTTGAACGATTGGTGCTTCAGCTTTCATATTTCACCAGTATATTTCTTGTGAGAAGGCCTTTCCTTAGGCACCATTATTTTTTACCATTTGACCTTGACCTTGATGTTTGACTTACTTTGAAAAACTTTAACCTTTTCCATATCTATTCAATGGTTGCTGCTAGGGCTCTCATATTTAATAGGTATATTCCTCGAGACAAGACCTTACTTTGGGTACCAACATATTTGATTTGAAATTGAGAAAGTTTAACCTTTGCTATAGGTTGCCATACGGGGGCATCAGTGTTTCACAAACATATCTTGTTTCTCTTACTCTTCTGAATTGTAATTGATTGGATCTATGTACAAATAATTTAGAATGGTAGGCCGTGGTTCCAGAGCAAGGTAACCTGCACTGTGTTTCTGGAACAGCCAGAGTTCCTATTGTTTTGTGAAGTACCAGGTTCTTTCACCCTCATTCAGAATTACTTCGCCCCGGTACCTCACACAATTCCTCTAGACTGCTCTCTTTCCACTAGTGCTTTAATTCCAACCTTTGCTCTCTTATGTATATTTCTTTAAGAGGGCTTTTTCTTTACCTCTCGTCTTCTGCAGCTGCTTTCTTCTCTCAGTCAACACTTCTACTAACTCAGTCCTCACAAGCTAGGAAGCTGCCAGCGTCTCCTTTTTATACACTTGGCTTATTCTACCAACCATAGGGGTGTTCAGCTTATTGGAAGAGTCCATTTTCCAATATCCCCTCAGATTCAGTGATGATAGGCATAGCCAAATACGCTACCCATTACTCTATAATGAAATTAAAGATAGGTTTAATTCATTTGAAGCTAGGTCCAATAATTTTAAAATAGATGTAAATTGTTTACACCTGTCATTAATTAATTTAGACCTATCTTTAATTCAATTGTATCTATCTTCAATTCTTTTGAAGATAGGTATAAATATTTGATGATACTGGGTAGGTGCAATTATTTGAATACATTATGTTAATTTGGCGTTCCATACGATTGTGAGATTGAAAACATTGAAAACATGATTTCAACAAAATTCTTGGAGAAACATTGGCAATTCTAGTCTCTGTCAGGGTGGATTATTTACTCTTTCTACCTTATGACAGGCCAGGGAGTATCTTTTACAACACTCTTCGCGAAGGGAAGGAAAATCGAGTTTTGCTAGTCTTTCACACTGTGACAAAATATGACTGATATTCTTTCTCACTGTGAATATATATATATATATTCGCGAAAAGAAGAGAAGAATTCATGTTTTTTTTAAAACGGGGCTAATTTTGTGTTTTGCAAACGAAAATTTTGGGCAAAATTAAAATCTATATATAGTGCTTTGAAAAAATTCTGCATAACAATAGTGCAATGCTAAAATATTCTACAAGCCTTACCACTCACTATAAAAATGGAATATTCGGAAAAAATATTCCTTGCACTACCGCAATAATAATATATGTTGTAAGAAATAAATTTTAATTTCCCATTCATAATAGTCCAATAATTGATAACTACTATATAGCCCATTACTCTAGTGTTTAATTCATTAAATGTAGTAACAAGATAAATGTGTCTAATGTACTTTACACGTTTGAATGCATTCTTTAAAAAGAAAATAAAAAGAAGAAAGAAAATATGAGAATTTCAAAACACTTAAAATTTTTATCAAGTACCTTATTTATTCATTTAAAACATTAAAGTACGTTATGTATTATTCAAACTAGTGCAAAAGAACTTTCAGTTAACTTTTGACTATCTCAGCCAATTTGGATTTTGTAGAATCCATCCCTAACTTTTTACACGAATTAATCATTTGTTTAAACGCTTGTTTATCATTGAATTTGGTGACATTTCAGAATTCATGTCAAAATTCAGAACATGTAAGAATATAGGTTACTTTCATGATGTCGTATGCATGGCGTTTTCTCAATTTACAAATAAGACTATTACGTGGTACATATTTTATGCAATCTCATAAACTAAAATGCAAAGAAACACCAGACGATGCATTTCTTTATCTAAGGATCACTAATATATTCATGTACAGCTTGGCAAGCCAAAGGTTTAGATCCGCTCCTCTGCTCAAGAGGGGATTGGAACCGTGGCTAGCAAAGGTGATTCATATGTGGAGACATTGAATTAGATATTCAGTTTAGTTCATATTACGTAAACTTTAGATAGCCTAGTAGGTACTCGTAGATTCAGAATACCAGTCACGGGTCTGATATAATAGGACAAAATGGCTGTTCGAGTGTTGGACCCAACAGAGTATGGCAAGTTGGAGAAGGACTTGGAGACTGCCCTACCTGTTTCTTTGGGGGTATGTATGACTGTTGCATTTCATTGCTTCATTTTATAGCCTATAAAAGTTTTGTATATATGTGTTCTTCTTATCAATTACCGAAACCCAATGAATAAATTTTGTTACTCAGTATCTCCATGACTTTTTGAAATTCCCGGATAATGTATTTTCATAATACATTTTTGTAAAAATCTTCAATTTTTTATAGATTAACGCAGTTAGACAGACATACTCATTATTTCCGTTGACTGAACACGACCATTAAGACGATCATTCAATAATACAATATATATTTTATCATTATTCGTTTCTATCGCCCTGTTATCTACTTGGATGGAGGAAGTTTTTTTTATACATATATGAAATATTGTGTTTTTAAGGTTTTCACTCACTTCAAATTGCTACAGAGAGGAATACTGACTGACAAAACAGTCCTGGTGGACAGTTGGCCAGAGTTCTCTGCTCTTGTTATTGTTGACAGCAAGGTAAGTCTTATAATGTATAGTTTACTTTCAATTTCCCCTAAACTTGAATGAATCTTAACTTCTTTTATAGAAAAAAGAAACTGCGGCTTGGGCAATTGGTTTCTGTAAAGATCCAGACTTTTGCCAATCCCTAGAAAAATTATTGCGCCATGCCTCCAAAGTGCTAGCATCACCTTTAGTCATTGCAGGTAACGAGACCGACAAAATTAAAAAAAAAAGTAATGCACCAGTGTGCCCTAACAATTAATTGATATTCAATGTTCTATAATATAATGGTTTATCACGTTAGAGTTTTAAATGTGAATGTTTATTGTGACATCAAACTGTCAAAGCAATAAATCCATATTTAGGTCGTTTCTTTAAAACTGTGTCATTTTCTAGCATGTCACGTCTAAAGCAATGCATGTTATCTTTTCCGTGTCGGGGAAACCCAGGTTAAGGGTAAAATGGTTATATATATAGATTTGTATTATACCAAATAGGTATCTGTGCAAGATATTTGACCAAGATCAAAAGAAAAAAGGCATATCGGTTTCAAGTTTCGTGGATATTGACTTTTTTGGTCACAATTATGGTACTTTATTTATTGAAGAGCAGAAAGCCTTTCAAACTTTACTGACAGGATTTGACCACATGATTAACCTAGATCATACCCCAGCGATTTTTTTTCATGACTGCAGTTTCAGATAGACCATAACTTCAGTGTCTGATCAATCCTAAAGATGTAAATGGTACGATAATGAACAGTGATTAATACGAATCAGCGTTTGATCAATCTGAAGATGTAAATGGTAAGATAACGAACAGTGATTATTACGAATCAGTGTCTGATCAATCCTAAAGATGACAACGAACAGTGATTAATACGAATCAGTGTCTGATCAATCTGAAGATGTAAATAGTAAGATTACGAACAGTGATTAATACGAATCAGTGTCTGATCAACCCTAAAGATGTTAATGGTAAGATAACGAATAGTGATTAATATGAATCAGTGTCTGATCAATCCTAAAGATGTAAATGGTAAGATAATGAACAGTGATTAATACGAATCAGCGTCTAATCAATCCTAAAGATGTAAATGGTAAGATAATGAACAGTGATTAATACGAATCAGCGTCTAATTAATCCTAAAGATGATAACGAACAGTGATTAATACGAATCAGTGTCTGATCAATCTGAAGATGTAAATGGTAAGATTACGAACAGTGATTTATACGAATCAGCGTCTGATCAATCCTAAAGATGTAAATGGTAAGATAACGAATAGTGATTAATATGAATCAGCGTCTGATCAATCTGAAGATGTAAATGGTAAGATTACGAACAGTGATTTATACGAATCAGCGTCTGATCAATCTGAAGATGTAAATGGTAAGATTACGAACAGTGATTTATACGAATCAGTGTCTGATCAATCCTAAAGATGATAACGAACAGTGATTAATACGAATCAGCGTTTGATCAATCCTAAAGATGTAAATGGTAAGATAATGAACAGTGATTAATACGAATCAGCGTCTAATCAATCCTAAAGATGTAAATGGTAAGATAATGAACAGTGATTAATACGAATCAGCGTCTAATCAATCCTAAAGATGATAACGAACAGTGATTAATACGAATCAGTGTCTGATCAATCTGAAGATGTAAATGGTAAGATTACGAACAGTGATTTATACGAATCAGCGTCTGATCAATCCTAAAGATGTAAATGGTAAGATAACGAATAGTGATTAATATGAATCAGCGTCTGATCAATCTGAAGATGTAAATGGTAAGATTACGAACAGTGATTTATACGAATCAGCGTCTGATCAATCTGAAGATGTAAATGGTAAGATTACGAACAGTGATTTATACGAATCAGTGTCTGATCAATCCTAAAGATGATAACGAACAGTGATTAATACGAATCAGCGTTTGATCAATCCTAAAGATGTAAATGGTAAGATAATGAACAGTGATTAATACGAATCAGCGTCTGATCAATCCTAAAGATGATAACGAACAGTGATTTATACAAATCAGTGTCTGATCAATCCTAAAAATGATAACGAACAGTGATTAATACGAATCAGCGTCTGGTCAATCGTAAAGATGTAAATGGTAAGATAACGAATAGTGATTAATACGAATCAGCGTCTGATCAATCCTAAAGATGTAAATGGTAAGATAACGAATAGTGATTAATACGAATCAGTGTCTGATCAATCTTAAAGATGATAACGATCAGTGATTAATACGAATCAGTGTCTGATCAATCCTAAAGATGTAAATGGTAAGATTACGAACTGTGATTATTCTATAAATCCAGTGAAGAATGCGAATCATGAACAGGGAAAAACACGAACCCTGGAAATAGCAGTGGTGGGATCAGGTACCTAAGAGGAGAAAGCATCCGTATTGCAGAACGAGGTAATCTGTAGTCAAAATGGTATAAAAACAATGACTTAACTATTGGTGGGAAACACGTCAGTCAAAATATGATCCCACGATATGATTTATATACAAACAAGGTCAATATGAGGAACATAGAATTTGCGAAATGGCGACTTTAAACGGAGATAGTTGAAAACCCTGAGGTTGAAGTCTCTTAATGTCATGATATAACAACATGTATTTAATGTGTTCAGTAGTATTTGATGCGTCCAATAATTCTCAGTAGTTATCTTAATGAATCTCCTTTATGGTATTTCTAAAGCAACAACAGGATCGATTAAATCCTTTAGGGATTTAAGGGGTGGAGACATTTACATTGGTTGTATTTGTTATCAGAATGCAAATTTCCCTTGGTAGCATTTATTTCAATATTTTTATTTTCTTGAAGTTTTCTGCTTGTCAACGGTTACCCAGCAGCTAATATACTAAGTAGAACTTATGGTATAACAGGGCATTGCATAGAATCGAATCCGTACCCCTTGACTGCTTGTTATATGAAAACGGTGAAGATAACGAACAGTGCTCGATCTAAAAAAAATCTACAAACAATACAGGAGTAAGCATCACCTGTTGACCGGTTACACCTGTCATTAGGACTGGGCAATAAAACCGATATTCCGGTATATTGCGGTATGTTGACAAAAATATCGTATTGCAATATGCTTTTGTAATACCAATATACCGGCAAAATGCTTGGAATCAGGAATTCTAACATGAAACTTTAAGAAAAGTTGTCAAAAAGGTTTGCGATCATGCCAGACATTAAGACAAAAGCTGTTAACACATGGGTGTATTTAGTTGCATAACTCAATCAACAAGATACCTTTTATTGGTTATTTATCATAGTTATGTACATTCTACGTGTAAAAGGAAGTTAATATAATAAGAAAATTTCATTTAAATTTTTGTTGTAAATCTTGCTATACATATCACAATACAGTAAAAAAAAAATCGCAATATATTGCAATGTAAAATTTCTAGCCAAAACCCAGCCCTACCTGCCATGAGCCCTATATATTGATCAGGTAGACGGAACAGTCCGTAGTCAAATTGAGTATAAAAACAAAGGCCTAGCAATTGGTATAAAACAGGTCAGCCAAAATACAACCAAACGATAGGTTTTATTTGCTATCAAAGTCACTATAAAGACCAGAAAATTTATAAAATGCTGACTTTAAACTAGGTTTTTGAAATCCCTGTAACATCAACTTATCTGTCAGTAGCCTGCCTCAGTTCAAAAAGTTATCCTTCTCAAAGTTTGCTCTTGAGTGTCGAATAAGTTCGGAGTTCGGAGACGTAAACACCATATGCAGGCGATAGCTGAATGGTACTACATAAATAAGAAAAGTTGACGATGGAAAAGTTGAGGTCATCTCTTTGTCATACCATTTAGTTGTAAGGAGGCCCATGTCGTCTATAGTCGGTAAAACATCCAAATATGAAACAGATGTGGCAGACGCTATTATGTCCTTAATTTCATGTTCACTGGGATATATCAAGTCGACATATGAATGGAAGTAACTACTGTTATTTGATAAAACGTCGTCGATATATCTGAATGTCGAGTTGATGGCAAAAGCAAGTGTTTTCTTTGTCTCATGTAGATTGATTGATTGGTTGTATATTGTTTAACGTCCCATTCGAGAATGTTTCACTGATATAGAGACGTCACCGTGTGCCGGTGAAGGGCTTCAAATTTAGAACTATTCTCGGTACTGGGCCATTGAGCAGAGAGGGTTCTTTGTCGTGCCAACTCCTAGCGCTAGACGGGACCTCGGCTTTAAGGTCTCATCCGAAAGACCCGTGACTATCACATCTACTGCCGGGCGCTTGGCGAAGGAACAGTCACCACATATGTTTACATACAGTCACCACATATGTTTACGTATTAGGTTTGACGCGGCACGGCGATTGAGAATCGAACTATGGTCTCCCGACCACGAAACTCAGAGTACTTGTATATAGAATTAGAGTGAATTTTAACAAAGCAATTTTGTTTTTGACTAATCACAAGATTCGAAAATTTCCCAGTTCCGTTTTTTAATTTTTATTTTTTTTTTGCAGAAGCGGTTGTCTATCATAAAAAAATACATTTTAATTTATCGTGAGAAATGGTTATATAAATTGCAGAAATTAAAAGTTGTACGTTTTGATGTTATTGATTTTAGAAAAAAAATTGGTGATTTAATTTTTCTGAAAGTTGTTTAGAGTTTTTGAGAATTCGCATCTAATTTACACCACATCTAGAATATGCTGTAGCACAGTACATCCTTCACAGCAGTTTTCATATTTTTGTAAAGAAAAAATGAAAGGGGCTTGGTAGAGCAGCTACTGGACCTGGCAATATATCTTTGTATCATGAATTTATGAAGTTTAGGAATCCAGTGTAGGTAGGGAAGACTGGAATGCCATCCGTATCAAATACTGAAATGCGATTTTGAAGAATTTTAGCCTTAGAAAGTGAACTATGAGTATAGGTTGGATTTCCAGACGTAGAATTAAAACCAAGTTTTCTTACAAAAATACAATTACAATAATTAGCCTTACAAACAAATAGGACATTATTACAAGCTTTGTCTGCTGGGACCATAAAACATTGTTTATAAAGTCTTAAGTTTCTATTTCTTTTATCACCTCCAATTTAGTGAAAACAGAAGGATAGATGTTTCGCACATTGCCTTTTAACTTTAATGTAAAATACGGAACAGTGGTAAATCTCATAAATCTTGTAAACAATACGAAACGCAAGAGGAGGGATCAGGTGCCTAGGAGGAATAAGAATCCTCTGTCGACCGGTCAACATCACATGTGTGACGTTGTTGATTTAATGAAACTTATGTCAATTCTTTAGATTAAATATCAACATGATAACGGATTGTCTCGATAATTTACAGGGTGTACGGAAGATGTGGTGGATTCCTTGGTTAACTTATTCAAGTCTGCAGAGTCCAGTCCAATTAAAAAAGCGGGCGGAACAACATACGTCTATACATTTCCACCTGATATGATTCTGCCTTTGTAAGAATTATTCTTGTTAATTAAGTTAATAAAAGGAACAATATTTACTGCCCTTGATAAAAACTTCAAAAGTTTTACAATGAGCAAAATTTTTATCTTACTGGTACACCAGTATTTGTTTTAACTGTTTTGTCACTTCAGAAAAATTCCTGATGGATTCAAGCTATCCGAGTTACAGCAAACTCACGTAGAAAATGTAAGAAATGCATGGCCTTATAGGGACGAATTTGAACAATACGCAGATCTGAGACAATGGATACGTTATCACTTTGATAATTTTCCAACAGTCTGCATTGAAACCGAGGACGGACGCCCTGTTGCCTGGGAGTTTCAGCAGGAATATGGTGCAGTCGGCATGTTACATGTCGAGCCAGAGTACAGAAGGCTCAAACTGGGAAGTGTGGTAACAAGGATACTGGCCCAGAAATTGGTAAATGACGGACAATTGGTGTTTGCTTGTGTAGATGACAGAAATGAAACATCTGTGACTTTCTATATACGCTTGCCATTCAAATATTCTTTTGCAGTTTACCACTTGTAGTTTAACTGTAAAAATATTTCATCGACAGATTGATTAATAATATGTTGTATATGTTGTTTTTTTTTGTCCCAGTTTAAAAATTTTGCACTCATATAGGGATGTCACAATATACCGGTGAAGGGCTTCAAATTTAGATCTAAACTTGGCACTCGGGTCCATTCTCAGGGCCATTGAGCAGTGAGAGTTCTTTATCATGCCACCCCTTACGTGTCAAGAGAGGTCTTAGGTTTGACTCGCCACAGCGAAGGAGAATCGAACCCCGACCTCCCGATCACGAAGCCAAAGCCCCACCACGAGGCTACCATGACCACCGAACAACAGAAAAGAGAAATAACGCAGAGCACGTAAAACGTATAGGAACAGCGGAATTAAAAGAAATATTTATCCTTTGGATCAAGTCAAGGTAGTACCTATACTTGATCCAAAAAATATTTTCAAACAAACTGCAGGATCCAGTAAATGTTCTAACAAGCCCCTTTCTTTACTCCTCATAAAAATATTAACCGGTGTGAAGGAGAAACTTCAAACATACTATGCGACAACATATTCAAGAAATCAAATGTGAATTCTCAAAAAAAAAAAAGAAACAAAAAAAAAAAAACTCCAAAGAACGTCTAGAAAATTCAAAATCGCTTATTCTTCTAAAATTAAGGGTATCAAAACATATTTCTGCAACACTTTACATTTCTCATGATACCTTAGAGAGAAGTCAATTTGAAGTCATAGACAAATGCTTCTTCGAGAAAAAAAGGTTATGGAAATGTTTATACCATGTTATTAATAATCATCAACAAAATGACTTTGTAAAAAAAAAATTAATCAGATTTTAACCCTAACCCAGAACCCTGAAATTCATATCAAAAAGATGCTGTAGTTCCTCATTGACTCATAGTCTATAGAGACCAATCTTCCAGCAACATATCTGAATTTCTATGGGAGCAAATTGTGCTCCTTTATTAGCTGATATCTGTTTTTGTATTCTCAATACCTAGCTGAGATGAATAAACTCTTGCTTAAACTCTTCAGCTTGACATTATGATATATCGATGGCGGTTAATCAATTACAGCGAATTACAAAAAACGGTAAAGTTTTTTGCTGGATAGCGAAATACAATACAATTTGGCAAACAAGTTCCACATTAAGTTTGAATCTAGGTCATGAGGTTACTCAGGTGTAGAATAAGATTTTTCAGGTAAATTTGAGCAGAGACATAAAAAAAAACAATTTATTTGTGTCTCTGATCTGAGTTGATTTCAATGTTGTACGAAGCTACATGTATGTGTTAAGGTGCTAGCTGTAAATGCAATATTTTGCTTTAATTGCAAATATTTTTCATTAAAATTGTATGCTCTACAGTTCTTTCTAATTGCTTCAAAGACTTGTCACTTTCGAAGCACAAACCTTTTGTAATTTGTTTTCCTGGTATGCAATCAATTTCAAAAGTTTTTTTTTTTTTTTTTGGGGGGGGGGGTCAATTTTTGTCAATTAAATAAAGAATAGAACCAACACCAGTGCTTTAGAACAAATGATGAACATTGCTCAATCCAGCATTAATACATCGGTGTAGTTCACCGATGTATGACAATTTTTTGAAATGGTTTTATTATATTAGACTACTCATATGAAGCAGAATTCATTCAAAATCCCATACATGAGAAAAAAGAAAACACTTGCTGTGGCCCTTAACTCGATATTTTTTCGAAGACACAACCCAAGTTCTTATTGCCCCTGGAAGGACTTTCACCTGCTAGTCCAGGGGTAGTCAACGGCACCAAATTATGTAACAGAAAAGGAGAAAATGTTTGGCTGGACCGGGAATCGAACCCGGAACCCATGCATCACTTGTCAGTGTCAGAGTCAAAGTCAGTTTACTATACCGACTGATAGAGCTACCCAGGCCGATATCCATGGTCCAAACCATTACAATATATTGGACAGAAGAAAGAAATACGGAGACATCATTTCAAAGTTATACATTGTACATACTACCACATAGGCTTTATCAATAGAGCATCGTATTACCGGTATACATTTATTTACTAGAATCAAATAATTTTTGTTTGTTTGTTTGCTGTTAAACGTCCCTCTCGAGAATTTTTCACTCATATGGAGACGCCACCACTTGGCGGAGGGCTACAAATTTTGACCTATACTCGGCACTCAGGGCCATTGAGCAGTGAGGGATCTTTTTCGTGCCAGCACCTACTGCAACACGGTACCTCGGTTTATACGGTCTCATCCGAAGGACCGGTCTCCACGTCCCACAGTAGGATTCGAACCCGCGAAGTAAGGATCAACTCCTTACTCCTCGACTCTAGAGCAGACGCTCTAATTAACCACTGCGCCGGAATCAAATTATGAAATACAAGCTTTAATAAATAATTAAGGATATTCAATGTTTCGTAGTTGGATATGGAATTTATTTCAAGAGTGGAAGTGGGACAGATTTCTTTGATAATTTCACGAGTGCTTCGTCTTTCCGTAACACAGTGTCATAGGTTATGACGTCATAGCTGAGCTTTTGAGACATCAGTATATGTACATGTAGCTAAGCGATTGTATGGAACGCGGGCCGCAAAATTAATAATTATATATTCAAACATTTGTACCTATTTTTAATTATTTGTACCTGTCTTCACATCAATTTTACCTTTCTCCAAATAAATTGAAAATAGGTTTAATTCAATTATATCAGAGACCTATATACTACATAGGTCCCTGATTGTAGTTGCGGAACTTTAGCGTTATGGTTTTACATTTTATATGGTCAAAGACTAATATATGTGTTTGTTTGTGTACTGTTTAACGTCCCTTTCGAGAATTTTACACTCATATGGAGACGCCACCACTTGCCGGTGGAGAGCTGCAAATTTAACCTTTAGGGCCATTGAGCAGTGAGGGATCTTTTTCATGCCAGCATTTACTGCGACATAGGACCTCAGTTTATACGGTCTCATCCGAAGGACCGGTTTCCACGTCCCACAGTGGGATTCGAACCCGCGACGTAAGGATCAACTCCTTACTCCTCGACTCTAGAGCGAACGCCTCTAGCCACTGCGCCATGCGGGCGACAAATATCTTAACCATAACGATTACAGTTCTGCAGCTACCCCGATTGTATCTATCAACTAAAGATATGTACAATGGATTTGAAGATGGATATTGTTAAATTGAAAAAAGGTACAAGTACGTATACCAAGAATTGAAAATAAGTGTAATTAATTTGAAGATAAATGCAATTGAATTGAACCTAGATATAATTGATTTGCACCTATCTTCAAATCATTTGATCATTTGTGTAGGTTTTTAACTGTATCTATCTTTAAATCAAGTGTATACCTATTTTAAAATGACTTAGAGTCTGGTAGAATTCAAATAAGCCTATCTGTAATTGAATCAATCCTAGTACATCACTACATGTACCTACTGTAACGTGGAAAACTGGGTTCTACAAGGGTCAAGGGTTCTCTTTATATTTTGTCTCTCACTCTTCTGAATTGTAATTGATTGGATCTATGTACAAATAATTTAGAATGGTAGACCGTTGTTCCGGAGCAAGGTAACCTGCACTATGTTCCTGGAACAGCCAGAGTTCCTTTTGTTTTGTGAAGTACCAGGTTCTTTCACCCTCATTCAGAATTACTTCGCCCCGGTACCTCACACAATTCCTCTAGACTGCTCTCTTTCCACTAGTGCTTTAATTCCAACCTTTGCTCTCTTATGTATATTTCTTTAAGAGGGCTTTTTCTTTACCTCTCGTCTTCTGCAGCTGCTTTCTTCTCTCAGTCAACACTTCTACTAACTCAGTCCTCACAAGCTAGGAAGCTGCCAGCGTCTCCTTTTTATACACTTGGCTTATTCTACCAACCATAGGGGTGTTCAGCTTATTGGAAGAGTCCATTTTCTAATATCCCCTCAGATTCAGTGATGATAGGCATAGCCAAATACGCTACCCATTACTCTATAATGAAATTAAAGATAGGTTTAATTCATTTGAAGCTAGGTCCAATAATTTTAAAATAGATGTAAATTGTTTACACCTGTCATTAATTAATTTAGACCTATCTTTAATTCAATTGTATCTATCTTCAATTCTTTTGAAGATAGGTATAAATATTTGATGATACTGGGTAGGTGCAATTATTTGAATACATTATGTTAATTTGGCGTTCCATACGATTGTGAGATTGAAAACATTGTAAACATGATTTCAACAAAATTCTTGGAGAAACATTGGCAGTTCTAGTCTCTGTCAGGGTGGATTATTTACTCTTTCTACCTTATGACAGGCCAGGGAGTATCTTTTACAACACTCTTCGCGAAGGGAAGGAAAATCGAGAGTTTTGCTAGTCTTTCACACTGTGACAAAATATGACTTTGATATTCTTTCTCACTGTGAATATATATATATATATATATATATTAGGGATGGCAATTTGTAATCGGTTAACCGGTTACTCGGTCGGAACGATGGTAATCGGTTAGAAAATCTGTAATCGGTTAGTCGGAAAAAATTATAATAGGTATAAATTTCCTATATATATATATATATATATATATATATCTGTCAGCTGTCAGGGTGGATAAGCAGAAGAAGAGCAGAAGAAATCATGTTGTTGTTGTGGTTTTTTTTAGATGGGCCTAATTTTGTTTTGCAAACAAAAAGTTTGGGCAAAATTAAAATCTATATATAGTGCTTTGAAAAAATTCTGCATAACAATAGTGCAATGCTAAAATATTCTACAAGTCTTACCACTCACTATAAATATGGAATATTCGGAAAAAATATTCCTTGTACTACCGCAATAATAATATATGTTGTAAGAAATAAATTTTAATTTCCCATTCATAATAGTCCAATAATTGATAACTACTATATAGCCCATTACTCTAGTGTTTAATTCATTAAATGTAGTAACAAGATAAATGTGTCTAATGTACTTTACACTTTTGAATGCATTCTTTGAAAAAATAAAAAGAGGAAAGAAAATATGAGAATTTCAAAACACTTAAAATTTTTATCAAATACCTTATTTTTTCATTTAAAATATTAAAGTACGTTATGTATTATTCAAACTAGTGCAAAAGAACTTTCAGTTAAATTTTGACTATCTCAGCCAATCTGGATTTTGTAGTATCCACCCTTAACTTTTCACACGAATTAATAATTTTTTTAAAACGTTTGTTTACCATTGAATTTGGTGACATTTCAGAATTCATGTCAAAATTCAGAACATGTAAGAAAATAGGTTATTTTCATGATGTCGTATGCACAGCATTTTCTCAATTTACAAATAAAAAAAGACTATTACACGGTACATATTTTATGCAATCTCATAAACTAAAATGCAAAGAAACACCAGACAATGCATTTTTTTTTTTTTATCTAAGGATCGCTAATATATTCATATACAGCTTGGCAAGCCAAAGGTTTAGATCCGCTCCTCTGCTCAAGAGCGTGATTCATATGTGGAGACATTCAATTAGATATTCAGTTTGGTTCATATTATGTAAACTACAGATAATCTTGGTACTCGTATATTCAGAATATCAGTCACGGGTCTGAAATGGCGGTTCGAGTGTTGGACCCAACAGAGTATGGCAAATTAGAGAAGGACTTGGAGACTGCCCTACCTGTTTCTTTGTGTGTATGTATGACTGTTGCTTATTATTGCTTCATTTTATAGCCTATAAAAGATAAAGTTTTGTAAATATGTGTTCTAATCAATTACCAAAACCCGATGAATAAATTTTGCTATCTCCATACCTTATAGAAATCCCCAGGTAATTACTTTCTATAATACATTCTTGTAAAAAATCTTCCATTTTTATAGATTAAAGCAGTTTGACATAATCATAATTTCCATTGACTGAACACGACGATTAAGACGATCATTCAATAATACAATATATATTTATTATTATTCTTTTCTATCGCCCTGTTATCTACTTGGATGGAAGAATTTTTTTTTATACATGCTCGTATATGAAATATCGTGTTTTTAAGGCTTACAATCACT